GTTTGCGATTAATAGTGCCCTCAATATCTGGTTGCTGTGTAATATATGTAGGTTGCATTGCTATACTTGTGCAAGCTAGTACCATTCCTTTTTGTAATAATTGTATATAATTAGGTATTAACAAATAAGCAGATAGTTTCATACCAATGGAATATGTAGATTCTACTGCTCTGGCCTTTTCGATTGCTTGATCTACTATTATTGGCATTGCTGTTTACACTGGTACCATAAATTCTGGTTGCAGCCCTTCAATAAATTCAGCAACTCTATCCATCTCAGCTTGCCTATACCGTAGGTTGACTTGCTTCCATAATTCTTCTATTGCTGCTGTATATTTCTCAATCATTTCACCTAGTTTCTGTGTCCTATGCCTAAGCTGATGCTTCCATTGATTTTGTCAAAATGTATTGCAGAAATGTTTCAAATAATGGTACGAAGAAAGTGCCAGAATTGATCTTACTATTCCAGTTGGTAATATATTGTCGTTGGAACTATATTAATGCTGTTTCTGTTAAATAACTGAGAACTATTTCAACTATTTGAGTGGTATTGATACGGTTTACTTTACAAACTCGTTCGAAAGCCTCAAGTCACTTTACTGGATCCTGATTTTCTCCTCTAAATATTGGCAAATCTACCAATTGTTGTTCTCTCGTTTGTTGTCCTTGAAGTCATCCTGCTAGCTCTTGTATAACTTGAAGGTAGGCATTGTCATTGTTTCCTCCTACTAGTACTATAACTGGTTGAGGTGTAAGTATTGGCTGAGAGGTGTTTATATTATTTGATGGTTGACTGCTAGATACTGACTAAGAAGTTGTTGTGCTAGTTGATCAAGAACTACCCTCCCAGGAGTTTGATGATGATTGCATATTATATGATTGGGCTACTATTGTTGACTGTGAGGTTCCTTTAGTAGTTACATTTTGATGTCCCATTGTATTATTTTCTCTGTCACTTGAGTTACTTCTAAGCCAATGGTTATTTACTGGTTGCCAATTTGCGGTTGTGAAACTGAAGGTTGTAGATGGATTGCTATTTCAGAGAGGATCTAGTGTGTTAAGGGATAAAATATACAACTATATTGAGTTGCTTGGGAAAAATTGTAAGGATTTCCCAATGATAATCTACTATTTGTATTTCCTACTGATGGAGTTGTTACCCTTAAATTTAATGGCTTTGACGATTGATTACTGGATAATGTTGAGGCTACTAATTGTTAAACATTTTCTACCCTAATAGGAGATGAAGACCTCCTATAATTACTGGTATTAAATGTAACTTTTCGAGGTATTCTACTTGGGGTTCCTCCTCTCTCTAGTTCATTTGTATTGTTAAAGAAAGACATTTTCTGTAATGTTTTATCATCATCATTGATATATTTAAATAGGATATTCTGTTCATAATCAGGGGCATATGTGTCATTTTTTTCTTCGTTATATTGCCTCCTATTTTCCAGATATAATTGTTGTGGTTGTACATAAGATGGTATATTAGATGGTGGTTAAGGTATGATGTGGTAGTTCCTGATGATAGTCTATACATTGCCACTGAAAGTGTTATCCCTGGGGAGCTTTCATTACTTCCCTGAAAAGACGCTATGATAGTATCATTTTGATCTCTTTCCATATTTTCTGAGGTATCACTACAATTGCTATTTATAATTGAATCAGTACTGCTAACACTTTCAATTTCTCACAATTGAAACTGTTTTGTTTTTACCTAAATTTGATATAATTTATCAGCGATGCTATCAAAGGATTCCTTTAGTATATTGTCCCTATATCTAATTGTAGTGACAATTTTTCTTAACAAATATTTCAATAAGTGATCTCTTTCCAAAAGCTAGCCTCACTCTCTTAGGTCCTTATAAATACGCTATAGTAAAGGTAGTATATGATACAGCATTATATTTAGGTACAATCCACAGAAACCAAAAATTATCAAAAAATGGTAGTTTTCCTGATTGAATTTGTAGTCTGGGTAACACTGTAAGCAGGATTAATCTAAATGGGTAATAAATGAGATTTTATGATCCTCAAGTTCCTTATGAGTAGCTATGTATTGTCAGATGGTTAGTAGGTATTATTCTTCAGTAATATGGTCAGTACTAGATTCCTCTAGATTTATTGAGATTCATCATCAAAGTAGTCATCACTAAATACTAATTCGTCTCACGTGGCCTTAATCTTATGAAATTCAATAAAATGTTTTAGATTGTTGATATTACTTTATAAATGTTTAAGACAATTGATTAAAATAATTTCTTCGTTCTCTAATGATTTATACTGAAATTGAATTTTAGCGACCTGTAGCTGAAGTTGAAGAAGAATAGGTCTTATAGCTACCGTTAATTGTCTAAGTGTCCTTCGCATACGTTTGATTTGTTGGATTGGTTTTTATTTCACCTAACCCACATCAAATTGTTATCTTACGATACTAACGACTGAAAATTAGTATTAATGCAAGATTAACAAAGGGATTTAGCTTTTATTCAATAATTTTAGGGAAAGCTTTAAAGGGTTTATAAATAATTATTACTTCAAACAATAATGTATATTTAGAATAAACTTTGAGGATTTTATTAAAAAATAAGGAATTTGTTACAATTATATTTGTTAGCATATAATTGTTATTAGTATTTATCTTATTAGTAATAAAACTAATTAAGTTCCAATTGTTTACAAATTATTATCTTTTGTTATCTACTACTGTCTATTACTATCTAATATTATTCCACCTTAACTAAGTTCTAAAGCTATCCTATTTATACTAAATTTGCTAATATAAATAAATAAAATACTAATTGATTATAAATAATAAATGATT